TACAAAAAATAACCCAGGACACAGTAAATTTAAGCAGAAAGCAAACTGATGCAGGGAGAGAGAAAAGCTGCCCTCCCTCCAGGACAGCAGAAACAAGTTGCAAAATTATGTTGACATAGGAGGAGGGCAGAAATAAGACTTTAAAGGAGGGATGGGGGACATGCTAACACCATGAAGTATGAAGATGTGGGAGAGCTCAAACAGCCCTGGTAGCTCATTTACAGATCTCAGGTCCAAGGCCAGAGTGCCACTCTTTAGGGGCTCCGTTTCCCCATGTTCACCACAGGACCTGACCTCCTCAAACAACTCATTAGGATGCCTTTTCACCAAGGCAGCTTCCAGCATAAGAGAAGCAGCCATTTCCCAGATATCCTGTCCACCTCCAGGAGTGTAGCAGGCAGGTTATCAACATGCCCATCACCTCTGACATTCAGAAGTGTTTCAATCACTGGCACTGGAGCCCACAGGTTAGAGAACACACAAATCCCTTTCCCAGAGGTAGATAATGCCAGTGATTAGCACTCCTCACCTGGGAAAGGAGACCTTCAACCCATGTTAGACAGGGAGAGGAAGACAGCAGCTATTTGAAACAAAGCTGCTATTGCCACTGTCAAGACAGAAAAGTGGTAGGAACATTTTGTCATTGGTACATAACTGTGACTAAAGGATGATCTGGGAACTTAAGAAAAAAACAGGACTAAGTTAAATATGATTTGATGTACACCAAGTAGATAGAAGTCCCTCAAAGCAGATATTGTAGAGGGACAGAGGCTGCATTGTAAACAGGGGAAGACTATCCACAGCTGGCACCAACAGGGTGACAAGTGGTCCTTGCAATCTCCTCACACTCAGGATCTGCCTATTGCCCTCCTTTCAAACATTGATTCTTTTACCAGGTTTCTGTTGAGCTCCCTCTCTCCCACCACCCAGCCACCAAGAGCCACAAAAGCAGAAATTCTTCATCATGTAGCAAAAACCCTGCCAGCCTGGCAGGGCAGCAGATCCCTCTCTTCCAACACTTGAGAAAGAAGAGAGGGAGAGAGGGAGCAGAACCACAGCCTCCCATCTACATAGCAGAGCCAGATAAAAAAAATAAAAAAAAAAAAGAAGCCAAAGAGTCACATAGAAGGTTAAAACAGGAATGGTTTTTGCCAGCTGATCTAGTTCCTTTCATCCAACCGGAGGCAGCATGGGGTATTGCTTACACCCCGAGTGGAGCCAGGCTGTACTGAAGCAGACTGACATCAGGCAGGAGAGGAGAAACATCCTTCAATTATCTTCTGCGGAGCAGAGGAAATAGTGGCATTGAGGGTTGCATCGAGCCAGGACCAAGCTCAGCTGCAAGACAAGAAAACAAGTTTATGCATACCGTTTGGCCTGCCACAAGCGACATCCTGGGCTGCACCCGGGCAGCATCTTGTCTAGCAACTACAGGTGGTTTTCTCCCACCCATTTCCACAGCCCAGTGAATCAGTCCATAAAGCTTCAGCACTGCAGGACAGCCAACCATGCTACATGCCCATGGCAGAGCAGATGCTGAGGGCTGCATGCCCAGCAGAGGTCACAGCTGCCCAGGCAGAGGGAAGGACGTGCTCCTGCCCAGCCATCTCTTCCCAAGGAGGAGATTAGCAGGTTTCCTTCAAGCCCAAGGAAACCACTAAAGCAGACAGTGTGTTCCTACAGCCCCCAGCATCTGCAGTTCTCTGCTTGGGACCATCTGCAGCGGTATCAGGTTCCTGCAGCTCTCGATCGGCTCCGCATGTGACAGCTGGTGCAGCCGAGGGACTTCAGTGTGCAGATGACTTTTCCATCGCGTGATAAATGACTCCTCCACACCCACACTCTCCCCACCATTCCCAGTTTGGGGTTGATTGCAGATGAAGCAGAGTCCAGGAGAACAGTTGGGGTCCAAGAGCGGGTGACCTCCCCTCCACCCACAGGCACTCAGCAGCAGGGAAACTTAACCCTTTGAAATCCTCTTGACTCAGCTTCAGCTCAATTTCCTTACAGCTTATCACAAACCCACCCAGGTTTCTCAGGCAGTGTTTCCCTGTTGTCCCTAGGTTTTCAGCTCTGGCCTCTCCACTGGCAATAAAGCAAGTCTGTCCCTTTGCTTTTGCTTCATTATGCAGCAAGGGGGAAGACAGTCACAAATCTTGCTTGTTGCAGCATTTCTCCTGAGCATACAAAGCTCTGAAGGAGACTCATCAAACAAAGCCAAGCATGACAGGGAAGGCAAATAAATTAAGTGCCGATTTCCTTTTGCATCTCTCTGCCTCACTAGTCAAACACACAGACTCTGGCACAGTCACAGGCTGTGGAAGATACCACCCACAAGGTCTCCAAGACCCATGGCACAGCAGGTTTCAAGTCAGATGGGATGATATAGTAGCAAAAGAGATTTTAAGAGCACAGACTATTGTAAGAGACCACAAATCTTGATGTTGTGCACAAAGCAGCCTCTAAGATTGGGAACAGAGGGAAAGTTTTTTTTTCCTGGCACATGCAGATTATATCTAAACTTCTCACTCCAAGAACCCCCATGCCCTTGTCAGTAGCATCTGGCAGTTTGCAGCAAATCCCAGGCAAGACCCTGACCCATCTGGGAAGCTGCATTTTTCTGAGGCACAGCAGTCTGTAGGACAAGGTGAACACTCAAAGAGCTGATCAGCAGTTGGGAAGTTCACTGCCCTGCCTCTTTAGTATTCCCAACACAACAAACCTGAAGCAGGTCAACCTTATAATTCTGGCTTACCAGTGCTGCTAGACCACAGTTCATCTTGTAGTACAGGCTGTCCGTGGGACCATATTAAACAGGAGCAGATGAAATCATTCCACAATCAATCCTAACATCAGATGCATGTACTAGCTCACCTTGCAGCAGATAAAAATCACCCAAGCAATTACCAATTCCTATACAAACAGAACTGGAATAGTGTTACACAAGAGCAAGTATGCACCTCTCCAACTGAGGCATTTTGGCTTTCTCACCCAGAAGAATCTAGAATACCCACAGGGCTGGGGAAGAGAGCAGGTATATGATGGAGTGGGCACTCAGCCTTTTTTTGGGCCGATGCAGACTTGTTTCCAAGAGTAGTTCTTGCAATAGAGCAAGTCCTAATCCCAGCCTTTTGCCTAAGGCATGAAGCTGATAAGCCACTGGGAATGCCCAACAGTTGTCACTCCCAGCTGGCACAAATCCCCTCCAAGCCCCTCGCCAAAACAGTGTGAGGTTTCTCATGCCTGCAGCCAAAATAAATGCATCAGTTAGTAGCAGTGTACCACTTGCTAGACACTGCCCAGACCCTGCCTACCACAGCCTCTGCTCTGGAGGACAGCTCATCCACTGTGGTGAGAGCTGGACCACGAAGGCTCTGTGGCCCACGTGCCACCTCTTCAGTGCTTTCATTTGCTGCTGCTTTTTTTTTTTTTTAAAGTCATCCTTCTTTCCCCCATCCACAACCAGTTTTGGCAGATACACCACCTGCTTGCTCAGTACAGATCAGCTTCCCAGCCCAGTGCTGACAGCAGCACTGCAGGCCCAAAGATAACACTGGGCACTCAAGCACAAATAGCTGTTCTGCACTTTTCAGAGTTTTATTCGGGATAATTTTCTCACACAGTAGGTATCACACTACACACTCACACTAACCAGAGCGGGTTGGGAGCCCCCAGGAACTGAGCAGAGCACATGCAATAGCCCCTCTGGGCAACCCTGATATTACCTCACCTCCTCTTCCTCATTTCAGGATGCTCAGTTGCATCCAGCACCAGGGACTAAGGGGCTCAGTGATTTATGCCTCATTTCACAGCAAAACTCAGCAACTCTGTGCTGAGCGAGAACCAGGGCAGAGTCAGATTTCTTTTTGGGGGCAGAGTCATGGCAGGTCAGAGGCTGGGTGCTTGGTGTTCCCCAGCCTTGCTCGGGAAGAGAAAGAGGAGAACTGATACTAGTTTTATCTTTCTATCCCCAACACAGACCCTTAGCTCAACTGCAGGAAATGACTGGTGCTCACCAGAAAGGAGATGGTGGTGAGTTAGCAATAGAGAGCGGGAAAAGCAGTCATGCATCCCCCCAGGGGAAGCACAGTGTTGGCCAAAGCGGGTCCAGCTGCAATTGCCATTGGGGATAAGATCCAACTCAGACCACAACCCATTTCTGTTTCACTGAAGAATGGGTGATACAGGGAGGACAGTGGCAATGCTCCCCAAG